TAAACAGGCTACTGAGCCTGTCCACCTGACAGTACTGTGAGACACCAAGGGGTGGCCTCATGCACTTCCCACACACAACACCCCCAGATGTCATGCACACTCTTGAGGCTGATACCCTGCTGTCATAGGTGAGCAGCTATTTGAAGTAGACTGCACAGAAATACTCCCTCTGAAACAGACTGAACTAATTTTTCAGACTGGATTGGAAACCTGATTTCCTTTAGACTAGGAGTATTGAACCTTTTTTTTCTTCTACCACACAGAAGAGTAAGTTACCTTGGACCACACGTTAAATACACAAACACTAACACTCATGAAAGCTTATAAGCCAAAAAAAAGTCCACACATACTTTTCATCGTATCTGATGCCAAAGTTAAGCAAAAAGTCCTCATAAAATCAGCACACAGCTAGCAGCCACAGGTTGGACACCCCTGCGTTAGACTTTACCCAGGTACCTTTTCCCTTGCTGATTTTGATTTCTGTTTTTTCATTGTGATAAACCGTATGTGTGAATACAACTATATGCCAAGTCCTTTGAGACTTGTTAGCAACGCATCAAACCTGAAGGTTGTCTTGGGGATCCCTATGCAGTCCCTTAGCATTCTCTAAAGGTAATCAGTCTTTTTTCCTTTTTGAGACAGGGTCTCTGTCATCCCAGTAGAGTGCAGTGGTATGATCATAGCTCACCGCCACCTCAAACTTCAGGGCTCAAGCAACCCTCCTGCCTCAGCCTCCCAAGTAGTTGGGACAACAGGCATCCACCATCATGCCCACTTAATTTTTTCTGTTTTTTTTTTTTTTTTTTTTGTAGAGAAAGGGTCTCGTTCTTGGTCAGGCTGTTCTCAAACTCCTGACCTCAAGCAGTCCTCCCATATCACCTTCCAAAGTGCTAGGATTATAGTCATGACCCACTGGGCCTGGCCCCTAATAATCTTTGACAGCCTTTTTGTTTTCTGGTAAGACAGTGTTCCAGGCTTATTTATTTCTACCCCAGAGCTGTTTCTCTCTAATAGGAAATATTTAGAAACTTTAATCTGGACATTAGGACTGTTCATTGTTGCTAAATTAATCATTGTTTCTAGATTTTTTTTCCCCCTCAGTAGATTGAGCTAGGACTTAAAAACAAACGAACAGGCTCGGCACCTGTGGCTCAAGTGACTAAGGTGCCAACCACATACACCTAAGGTGGCAGGTTCGAATCCAGCCCAGGCCCACCAAACAACGATGATGACTGCAACCAGAAAAAATGGCCAGGCATTGTGGCAGGCGTCTGTTGTCCCTACTTGGGAGGCGGAGACAGGAGACTCGCTTGAGCCCAGGAGTTGGAGGTTGCTGTGAGCTGTGATGCCACGGCACTCTGCCCAGGGGGACAGCTTGAGGCTCTGTCTCCAAAAAAAAAAAAAAACAGGTTCATAGTAATGTTTCTGCTAATTAAGGCTGCAGGGTTTTTACAAAGTTCATCAGTAAAACATCTACAGCTCATCTGTTCCTGGTCAAGAAAATCTCAGTTCTTAGCCAACAATTATTATTTTATCCTTCTATAGCTAAAGCAGCTTTAGAAAAATGGTGTCACCAACAACAACAATACAGGTACTGGAAAGCTGAAGTTTTTTGTAGTTCTCTCTTTAGAGTATGGAATAATAATCAGATTCACGTGTTTTAAGTTATTTGGAATTTCTTTCTCTGTGGTTATACCACCAACTCAGTACAAAGTTAGGTTCCTTTTTTTCTCCCTTTTTTTATTGGAAGAGATTTCTTTTTTGTTTAAATTTCTTTGTATACTTATATAAAATCTTTTCATGGTTCCAAAGTCAAATCTAAAAAAATACATATATTCTCTGCCACTCCCCTTTAGTCTTCTTATTTGACCTCTAGAGCTAAGAAATAAATTTGTAGCGTTTTAAGCCAGTTTCTGATCATTTGTTACAGTAGCCATAGGGAGCCAGGACAAGTATTAATACCTGGAATTAGGGTGCTGCTGTAACAACACACCTAAAAAATGTGGCTTTGGATTTAGGCGATAAATAAAGGCTGAAGCAATTTTTAGAGGTTTCATAGCAAAAGCTTAGATTCCTTGAATAGACTGTTAGAAGTAGGAATATTAAAGGTGCTGTTTATCAGGACTCAGAAGGAATGAGGAACACATTGGAAACTAGACACAGAGTTGTCCCTGTGATATAGTGGCAGAAAACTTCAGCTGGATTGTGTCCTACAGATGCATGAAAAAGAGAACTTGTAAGCAGTAAACTTGGATATTTAGCGAGGAGCTAAAGTGTAATAGGTGCAGTGTGCTTTCTTCTTGTTGCTTTTAGTAAAATGGTAAGAAAGATAAATTGAGAGAACTGTTAAGCCAAAAAAAAAAAAAAAGGAATTCACATTAATGACTTGAAATTAGGAGCCTCCGTTGTGAGGAAGGAATGCTATAGGAAGCCGAGGCTATGACCAGACCACCTTTTGCTGTTGCTGAGGAGATTAAATATATGACTTACAGAGCCTCTCAAATCTCTTCCAAAAATCTCAGCCATCTCTCAACTAGAAATAGAGATAGGATTATCCAGGAAAGATCCTTAGAGGAGCCTCTTTCTAATGGAGTCAATCTCATACATAGGAGACCCAGTTTTTCAGAAAGTTACATTACCAGAAACACTGTTGACTGGGATGGAAAGAGATGGAAGACAAAAATGAAAGGTTTTAGTTCTTGAAAATTCTGTAGGTAGGAAATAAGCTGAATAAAAAGAATGACTCCAGTGATACAATCAAGAGCCAGAAGGCAATGCCACAGGTCCCAGGGGATTATTGCCAGGCCTTGAAACCTAATAGAATTTGCCCAGTTGAATTTCAGAATTACTTTGGACTGGTAACTCCCTTCTTCCTTCCATTTTCTTCCTAGTGGAAAGGGAATGTCTTATTCTATGCCTGTCCCGCTATTATATTTGGAAGCATCCTCTACTCACTTTTTGCACTTTGCATTTTTCATTTAATTGTATATCCTAGTGTTTATTTTGTAGCATGTATATAGGGTCCTCATTTTTCTCAGCTGAATAGTACTCCTTTTGTGGACGTAGCGTAATTTATTCAGTTTCCTATTAATGGCATTTGGGTTATTTTTATAGGATTGTGCTATTACAGAAAGTGCTGTAGTGAATAACCTGTCCATGTGTCTTATTTTGCTACTGTATCTGTTGGGTGGAAAATGCAACAGTCATTTACTATATAAACCAGATACGGTTTAACCACCAGCCACAGTAACAAGTACATGTTACAGGATGACCCAACTCCCACGCATGTGCACACACACACATAAGACAAGTGTCATAGTTATCTTAATACCTATGATCTAGTTCATTTTAAAAATTCAGGTTGCAGTCCTAATTGATGTACTTAGGGTCACAACTCAAACATTGGCTTGACCAAGGTCTGACACTTTTTTTAAGAGCCAAATTTAGTCTTGTAGACTAGTCATGGTTCCACCTCTGCCTCTGCCATTGTAGCCTAAGACTCACAGGCAACACGTAAACTGAATAGACTTGGCTATGTCTTGGCAAAAGTTTATCAAGAAAACAGGTGACTGTAAGCTAGGTGTTGTGGTGGTGCCTGTAGTCCCAGCTACTTGGGGGGCTGAGGCAAGAGGATCGCTTGAGGCTATGACACTCTCCCGGGGGTCACAAAGTGGGGCTCTGTCTCAGAAATAAAAGAACAAGAAAAGGAAACAGGTAACTGTAGATGACAGAACTGTTTTAGGCTTAGTAGGCTGCACAATGCTTCTTCTGTAGCAAGGGGACATATGGAGGAGGGTCAATTACTGTATAAAATTAGGACTCAGGAAGGAGAATGTAGGAAATAGCTATTGAATCAGCAGCAATGGCTGTCACATTCGCCTAAATGTTCTTAGTTATCACTTTACAGGATTAAGCTCCACATACACAGATAGCCCTAGATATTTCAGGGATAAAATATAATATTTGTTTGCCCACGTTTAAGAGTAGGCAGATAGAGATGGTTATTTTAAAATATAGTAATTATAAATGGTTGAATTAAATCTGAGGGGAGAAAAATTTGCATAATTACAGGTGCCAGCTTAAATTTGAGCTAATTTTTGGGCATAAGATACTTTGAAACCTCTTTCCAAAGTCATTAAGATGTCTAAATATCTAAAAATGGTAACTTCCAATCACATGATCATTACCTTTGGCATGATTGGAAGCAAAAACACCAAAGTGGCAGTGGGGCATGGACTCATTTAAGTCCAGTGCTACTTGCAGAAAAAGAAATAATAAAAGTTAATATTACAAAAGACCCCATTGTTACTGTTTGAAATTTGTGTTTGGGGGGTGGTCAGGAGTGCGTAAGGATGGGGAGGATTCTTCCTGGCACCCGTTGCTACTCGTAGTGTCTTCATACTGAAGCACGGCTAGGCATCCTGCCTGGTTCTTAACCATAGGCCTGCTTTGTTTCTGTAAAGGAGTCACAGAGCCGGGTCCTTTGGGGAGGTACCTCTTTCTAGACCTCTATAAGGTCCTTGGAAATAGTTAAGTGAGGGATAAAAGTACAGGGGTAAACTGAAAGCCAGGAAAAATGGAGCGATGGAGACTACAAGAAAGAAGAGTAACTGAAAAAGAATTCACAGATGGGAAGATACACAAGATTGTTCCAGCTGCCTGGGGCTTCTATCATTCTAGTAGTATCTTGCATTAATAAGCATCTTCTCTGGGTTCAAAGACTTATTACATGTGTTTCAAAGCAGTTGCAGAGATCAAAGAGAGGAGCCAAGTAGAATTAGCTTGATTTTACAGATTGTAAAAAGTAAATGACTTGACAGGGCTCTCCAGAAAGAGAGGAATGGAGCTGACAGTAGGGACCCCAGGCTACTGAGCTGACTGAGTGAAGGACTTACCCGAGGCTAGCCTGTCCAGCCACCTCCCGTCTCCCTCCCTGCAGTCCTTGGCAGTCGACCAGCTAACCTTAACATTTCTTACCTAATACTCTTTCTTCTCCATAGATTCTTTGTGGGAAAGAGATTCCTCGCTGGATCAACCGACTTGCCTACTTCAGCTCCTGTATACCCTTTCTACAGAGTTGCCTCCCAAAGGAGTGGCTCACTCCGGCCGCCCTGCAGTCCAGTGTCAGCCAAGAGCTCCAGGATGAACTGGAGGAAGCAGAGGACGCTGCCGCATCTGCCTCCATGGCAAGCGCCGCGGCAGGCTCCAGACCCGGGCGCCACACTAAACTATAAACGTCTCCAAAGTCACACTTTCAGAACTGTCTCTTGCAGTTGAGTATAAATAGGGAAAAGTAAACAGAGTAAGCGTCCTTTGGGTATTTTGTATGCAAAGATGGCTCTCCCCCAAATCCCAGTTTTTCAGCTCAGGATTATATTTGTAATCAAAAAAAAAAAAAAAAAATCACTTGGCGCAGGAGGGAGAACTTTGTATGAAGCTGCCCTCTGTTTTTTTTACCCACTTGTAAATCTGGATTTACTTCTTCTGTTTTATACAAGCTCTGTTAAGTTATGTTTACAGTATTTTGTATCACTGTTTACAAATCTTGCATGGACTCCTGCCTCCGTGAAAGAAAATCTTCATGTCTTCAAAACTTAGGCAGGTCATCTGCGTACACTTCTGACAATTGCCAGAGCTACAGCATAAATAGTAGGCACATAAAAAGGTATGTACACAGTTAGGCGTCATTACCTGCTCCAGAATGTAGATTTTTGTTTTGTTAACGTTGGGGGCACCAGGACGCAGAGACCTAAACTGTCCCAAGGTGAGGGAGCACGCACAGCCTGAGGGCGTGGACCCTGAGTCCAGCTCCTCTCCGTGCTCCCTCCCACCCTGAGTAGCACATCTCCCAAGGTGCCCGTGGAGGATTAGTTTTACCCAAATATCCGTCCACCTAGACGGGTGGTATATTACCTTTCTGGCTTTGCTGCCTCTCGGTCTACAATTGAGATGTGTTTTGTTAAAGATACTCTTGTAACTGACAAGTGTTTTTGCACATGTTTTCGGGGAGGGGCTTCATTTTTATTTTAATGCACAGGATTTTGTTGGTGGTATAGGAATATCCTAAGTGGTAGCCTTCTGAGTAACAGTATAAGTTGACATTCAACTGCTTTTAACTATTCAGGCTACCTTTTTTATACTAGACCCTGAAAAACAGTCTGAAGTAACACACCCCAAAAAGGTAATTCTTTCATATTTCATATTTTTTACGTACCATGTCAAAATGAATATGTTGGAGTTTGTTAATTTGTTACGGGAATTGTTTCCCCTCATAATAGCGTGCTTAGTCTTACAGACAGACATCTTGTTGAAAAGTCATCTGTGTGTCTTAAAACTCATCTTTTTATGTTCTCACAAATGTATGTCTTTTACATAACGTACTCTAAGAATGACATTGTCACCACAGATAAATCGTCATAGGCAAGGAAATCTACCTGCTTGAGTCTGCTCTCAGTTTGACCCTCGGACGTAAGAACCAGGTTGTTAAATGTCATTCCGTTTTTCTGCCTTAAGAATGAATGTCCTACATAAAATAGTGATGCAGTATATAAATTATCCAAGGCAGTAACTTCAGCTTCTTATATATATTGTTAAAGTTATTTACACATTTATTTAAACTTTTAGACTGGAATTTTACTATTGCTCTGTGAGGATACATATCTTTCCGTAAACTACATTTTTAACTTTTCCATAAGCTGAATTTGGTTAATTTATCAACTTAAGCACACCCTATTCATAGGGAAAATAAACCTTGGGTATAAGCATTGGCCCAAGGACAGTGAAGCCACTAGTTTGTGCTTGTAAAGGGAAACCTTTACAAATTTCTCTAGTTCTTTAGGGGGCAGAACACTTGTTTTAAGATTGGGACAGAAAGAAGAAGAAAGAAATATATGAACTTCAGGAAATGTTGACTTGGTTCAGATCTCAAAATGAGATTTGGGACAAAACACTAAGGCTCTAGCAGTGAAATGTTTGCTTTAAAAAAAAAAAGAGTCCTGTCATCAAACCCTGGCTTAGGACAAAATGTTTGATGCAGTTTGCTTGGCATATTTTTAAAATATGGATTGTAGTTTTTTCTAATTCATTCAAATATACATGAGGCTACTCACACAAAGGAGTAGCTGTTAGACACTTCTTGGTGGATAGCCAGGAACATCTGTGCTTAGCCAGGATTCTGCGACTCAGTACACAAAGCATTTTGTTGTAAATTTGTCGTACTTTCATCTGCAGCACTTGGAGTTTAAAAATACTGCAAAGCATTCTAGTAGAAATAGCGTCCTAAGACCAGGTATCATACGAACAGGTAAAATTCCAGACATGAGATTCCTTGCAATCTAGTTATACCTGAGGTTGAGAAACGAATGTCTTTAGAGAATCCCATTCAAGTCAAGTCCTTCTCTGCAGTTCAAAATTGAGAATAGAGTTAATTAGCATTTAACTAGCTTTTACTTGCCCTTGGAAGGAAAGAATCTTGTTCTCAGCCTGATTTCTGTTAAGATAAATATTCTACATCAAAAATCTGGTTATATGCATACATGTGATACAGGGAGTCTGTTTATTGTTAGAACCAAGTGAGAAATGGTGGGTTGGACAGTAATATAGCGTTAGAGGGTCAGAAACTTCTGGTTTCTGCTGTTTGTTTTAAAAATAGCCTTGGGTTTGGGGTATTTTTAACCCTTCAAGGAGCATTCACTCTTGAAAGTGTGACTTGGGGCCTATAGAAGGCAGTGGTGTCCGATCTTAGCCTCCACTTGATGCCTGCACTCCAGCCAACTATTGCTCTGACCCACAGCAATAGCGCAAGTTACCCATCACCAGCATTTGTACAGAGCAGGGAATTCTGGTTTTAGTCAACTGGTAGCATGGTGTGTGTGAGAAGGGAGATTCAGCATGACAGACAGCTGCAGGACTCGCCATCCCTGGCTTCTTTCCATCTCAAAACGGGTAGAAACACATTCACTGCTTCAGGTTCTAATCTGTGTGTCTCCGTATGGCATTTCTGTAAGCTATTCTGTAATTTTAACATATGCTGTATTTGCGTTAAATGACTTAAGTTTAAAAGATTGGGTTTTGTGTTCAGCAGGCTGGCCACACTGCCATCTTACCCCTCAGGATGGCTGGTTTGGGAGTGCAGCTCAGTTCTTAGATTAGCATCATCTACTCGTTCAATACACATCTTTGCTGTGTGAAAGGTGTTAACAGCTGTCAAAGAATCTTCACAGACCTGAAGATAATTTCTTGTAAAGTTGAATGCAAGTGTACTGTGTCATTCATAGTGTTTATATAAAAATACCAGGAATCTTCACTTTTGCTACCTTGATATAGCATTGGGCTATCATGTAACAACATTGAAATACATTGATTTATTAAAGAAATACTTTTATAAGAAATGCTTCCTAGAGTTTTCTGACCTCCAGGAGACTGCACTGTTGTGTATTTGTGTTGGGTGGGGTGGGGGTGTGTTTTAAAACCCGGGATTCCCGTCTGCTGGCAGGAGTCGGGCCTGCCCTTGTCTGTCTGTCTTCCTCCTGTGCTCACACGTGCGTTTACTCACACGTATTCCTCATGCTCCCAGGCCCGTGGGCCAGTGCCTCAGCTGTCAAAGCATGGCCACACCTCACAGGCAGTGGGGCCAGCCCTGGTTCTGGGGGACACACAGGGTAGGGCAGGCTGGAGAGGACTGTCCTCCACGAGTGCAGGGGACAGGAATCCTTTCCCCAGCACACAGTCCGTCTAGAAGCAGCGAGCAAGCAGGAGCCCGACTGAGGGGGGCTCCTTATTTGCCATGAACCGATTATGCTACTGCTTTGCGCCTCCAACCTCTCCTCCCTCTCCTTTTCTCCTCTGGGCGCTTTGCACGTACCTGAGTAATACTTCTCTCCACTGATTCGAAAACCTCTCGAATTAAGTATTGTCACATAAATAAATGGCGGTCTTGTGTGGGTTTTTAATGCCTGTCTACTCTGCTAAATCAGAATGATCTACAACTCATTTGTTCTCACCTCAAAGGAGAATCCTCTCCAGTCTAAGGGATGGTTCCTAATAGACTATAAGTAAGGTTACAAACTCAAGAGCAGTAAACCAACTTCAGGGTCTTTCCTAAAAGAAAGGATACCGAGTGTAAGGGCCGTGGTCCCCTTGTTTCCACTAGTATCCGCTCCTGAAGTTCTTACCACCCAGCTATCGGCCTTGTAACTTTGCAGAAATGTGTGCTAAAAATGATTAGCAGCTTGCTATACTTTGCAGGAAGTAAGTCAGTGATAGCTAGCTACTACTTCTTAGATCCAGAGGTCTGCTGAGCCCCCCAAATTCTCCCAAAGATGATCATATCTTGACCCTACACTGGGAAGTCAAGTAGTTTCCTTTCCAAAAGGAAAGCTAAATAGAAGAGTCCCCCCCCCCCGCCCCCCGCCAGCTTTCTCAGGAAGGCTTTCATTTTCCAGAGACCCACTGAGCCCCACCTGTGCTCCGCAGCCCTGTCCTGCCTGGGCAGTTTTCATGGGCACAGTAGAGAATGTGCCACTTGTGCTGTTGAAGTCTGGGGTAGACCCTCCATCTTGGAGCTCCTCCCTGACCCCCTCCCTTCAAGGCTGTTGCCAAGTTCTGAAAACCATTGGCTGCCAGGCTGTTTCCTTCACACCCCTAAACTCCCAGGTGATCTGTGGGATTCAGTACAGCTGGACAGCGGAAGCCCCAGCCGTATGGCAGGCTGAACTCAGAAAAGTCACGAAAGCCAGAGGTGAGGTCTGCTTTAACTCATTCTCCACTGGGAGGAGAATGTGCATTTAACAAGGTTGTGAAGAACAAATCAGACTAGGAAAGCAATTTGGTCTACCAGGGACCCTCCATCTGGGTCACTAGGGAATAGCCGCTCAAGTACAGACTGGGGCTTTTCAGATTGAAAAAACTAGAATAAGATGTAAAGGAGCCAGGTGGCAAGACTCAGCCCTAAACAAAGACTGAAGAAAACCCATCCTTCCTCAGCTGGGATCAGTGAGGATCACAGACATACCCTGGCATTCCCCTGGCAAGCAGTAGGACACTGGAGGGGGGAAAGGAAATTCTGTCCCCCTGCTGTGTGCTTGGGGCCGGGCTGGGCACTTAACACACATCATTTCATTTCTCACAACAGCCTATGACATTGGCTCTGCTTTACACAGACAGTTGAGAGGTTATTAGCTCAAGACCACACAGATGACTGAGGAAAAGCCCCTATTTGACCCTCGCCGGTTACAAAGCTGCTTTTTTCATTCAAGCACGCTGCTTCTCCAAAATGGCAAATCTCCAGCCGCCCCAGACCTACTGAATCAGAATCCACCCTCTAGCAAGATCCCCGGGTGAATCATTAAGTACCTTAATGTTTAAGACACACGGCTCTATTTCATGAGACTCGGGTCTGTGTGACTCAAACCTATTCTGCTCACGGAAGTGAGGATTTCCTGGCTACAGTGACTCAGGTGACTCGCTATTTCAAGGTCTGAAGGACCTAGAAGTTGACTCGCCTCCAAAATTCAGTAGAGGCATGGTAGAATTTTGACTCAACCCATATAAATGATTTGGGGAGTACCCACCCCTATAAACATGAAGGATGAATCTGGAGTGGCTACTGGAGAAGTTCCCTGGAATCCCCCACTAGGAATTCTGGACTGCGGCTTCCACTGACCCCCCTCCTTCCCGTGAGGGCCCTCCAGGGCTGCACCCTGTGGTGCATCCCTCTTTACCCAATCCCCCCCCCAAGCCATCCATTCCCAGGCCCTCATCCCCAGCTACTCCGTCATGCTCTCATCTGCCCAGCGCCCCATTCATGCTGTCCCACCCCCTTTCAGTGTGCCTTCTGGAACTCCCAAGCTGTGACAGGCAGATGCCCCCCTAGATTCCACTTTTTTGAAAGTTCCTTTACCTCTCTGCTTTACCTGAAAACCTGACTATCCCTCAAGAAGCTCCCTCCCTCTGTGGGTTTGCCCTCCATCTCCCACTTGCTCCTTCAAATAAGTTCTCTGTCCTTCCACACCCGCCCTGTTACCCAGTTCTGCCAGCTCCTCCGGCTCGTAGCTGCATCTGCTGCTGTCCTGCCTCCCGTTCCCGTCACCTTCCCCCTTAGCCCTTTCCTGTCATCCTCAGTGACTTCACATCCATAGAGAGGGTCCATCCAACACCCTGGCCCAGAGTTTCTCAACTGGGTCTCTATTGTCATTTAGTGGGAGTGGGGGGAGGGGACAAGTGATTGTGGTGGACAATCCTACACATCACAACCCATGTGGCATTGCTACAACCCTGCCTGACAGCCACCATATTGCCCTCCCTGAAGTCACCACAGCATCAAAAGTCCCCACATCACCACGTTTCACCCTCCAGGGATAAGCCGTCTGGACTTCAGTTGAGGACCACTGTTGGCGTCTCTTCATCTCGTCACGCCCACCTTGCACGGAAACCTTCAACTTGTCATCACTAGAAATGTTCTGAACCACTTCCATAATCTTAATTTCTTTTTTTTTTTTTTTTTGAGACAGGAGCCTCAAGCTGTCCCCTAGGGTAGAGCACCATGGCATTTCGGCTCACAGCAACATCCAACTCCTGTGCTCAAACGAGTCTCCTGCCTCAGCCTCCCAAGTAGCTGGGACTACAGGTGCCCCCCACAATGCCCGACTAGTTTTTGGTTGCAGTTGTCAATGTTGCTTAGCAGGCTCGGGCCGGGTTCAAACCTACCACCATAGGTGTATATGGCCAGCACCCTGCCAACTGAGCTACAGGTGCCGCCCTTAAAAATATTTTTTATAATTAACTAAAAGAATCAAAGAGATGAAAATGTGCCCTACTCCCATTTAGCCGCCACTGAGAAAAATAATACTCAGCATCACAAAAGTAGTTCAAAGAATCTGATTTGGTTAAGAACTTTCGGTAGAATCTTATTCTCCTAGATAGAGTGGACACATGCATATTCATCACTATTTACAACTCTAGGTCCGATCAGACTCCTTAAACTTAAGTAATTTAAACAAATCAAAATATTTGTAAACATGACCACCACGTAAACATAACCTCCCACAGGAAACTATGTTTGGCTGCTTGTCTTGATGAATCGCTGCCTTTTATCCCAGTCTGTGTGAGGGTTAGAATATTGTAGGGACATCTCAGTTTTCCTAAAAGTTAAACCTCCTTGACAGACTCCTCTGACAGCTCAGAAGAGAGCCGTACACTTTTCTCCTGATACATGATGGAGAAAGCCAAGCCCCGGACACCCTGCTGGATATATTATTCAACAGATCAGCGTTTGTCTCATCTAGTCAAACACCAGCTAATCACAATTGTCCAGAGTGACTGTAATGCTCTACACTCCCACCAGCCGATTCTAGTTCCCGTCTCTCCATATCCCTGCCACTTGATTCTGACCACGTCTTTAATGTTGCCTAATCTGGTCAGCCAAAGTTGACATCTAGCTGTGCTTCTCACGTCCATTTTGCTGCTTATTAATAAGGTTTAGAGTCTCGGCGCCTGTGGCTCAAGGGGCTAAGGCGCCAGCCACATATACCTAAGGTGGCGGGTTCGAATCTAACTGGGCCCGCCAAACAACAATGACGGCTGCAACCAAAAAATAGCCAGGCGTTGTGGTGGGTGCCTGTGGTCTCAGCTACTTGGGAGGCTGAGGCAGGAGACTTGCTTGAGCCCAGGAGTTGGACGTTGCTGTGAGCTGTGATGCCACAGCACTCTACCCAGGGGGACAGCTTGAGACTCTGTCTCCAAAAAAAAGAATCTGTATATATTTCTGGGCACTTTATGTTTTGTGTGAAATATCTGTCCTATACTTTACCCCCTTTTCTGTTGGATTATTTTTCTTCCTGATTAGTAGGAACTCTTCACATATTCTAGCTACAATTCTTTGACCGTTTTACAGCTACCAGTATTTTCTCCCAGTTGGAGATTTCTTTTCAGTGTCTGTAAGGTGTTTTGATTAACAGAAGTTTATTTTAAAGTAGTCCAAAATATCAGTATTTTTTCTTTATGGGAAATAATTTTTGTATTTTTTTTTCTTTTGGCCAGGGCTGGGTTTGAACTCGCCAGCTCTGGTATATGGGGCCGGCGCCCTACTCCTTTGAGCCACAGGCGCCGCCCATAATTTTTGTATTTTAAGAAATCTCATCCCCCTACGTCATATGTTCTCCTATACTTTCCTCTAAGTATCGTGACATTTGTCTTTTGCATTTAAGTCTTCTACCCAACCAGAACTGATTTTGTGTGTGTGAGGTAGGGATCCAATCCAATTGAATAACTAATTCCTCCCCCCCAATACACACAATAGAATATCCTTTCCCTACTTAGTACAATTGCTACTTTCTGTTAGTCAGCTTTCCATACACTCGTAACTATCTTCCTGGGCTCCCTGT